AAAAAAAAAAATAAAAGGTTCACCATTACTGTTCTAGATCATTGCCTCATAGTCCTTACCCTCAAGAAGCTATAGATCCACCTGGGAAACTAACCCTTAAGAAGAACTTTACAAAATATACCCAAGTAGGCTGGGGAGATGGCTCAGAGGTCTAAGCACCTGTCTGGCAAGCACAAGGACCCAAGTTCAACTCCCACACTGCCTGCCCTGTGGGCTCTGGAATATTAGGTGCACCATACCACCTGAAATCAGGTGTGGTGATGCCCGCCTGCCTGTAATCCCAGTACTGGGGAGGCTAAGACAGGAGGATCACTCTGATTCTGAGCTGTGTAGTGAGACCCTGTATCTAATTAAATAAATAAATAAATAAAAGTATCTATCTATCTATCTCTCCCAGTCACCAAACAATGGCTAAATGGACACCCCAAAGTTTTTTCTTCACCTTAATCCTTGACTACTTGGTAAGTCCTCCTAACTCTGTTTCCAAAGGTACTCAGAACCACCTACTTCATCTGATGGTCAAGGTTTAAAGGAAAAGTCTGGGCTCAGCCTTATATCCCAGACCTACCACAGTCCATTCCCGCTTCACCATACTTTACCTTACACTTTTCCAAACCATCTGTGCATGCTGGTGAATAACTGAGTCCACGAAGTTTGGGGTTAACCTTAACGGACTTCCTATGCTATTCCTAACTCAAACCCCCACTATCCAAAGCCCCTAAGTAGGAGCACCAGCCACAGATAAGATGAATTCTACCAGCTTCCTCCTGAAGGTGCCTTTGTTTGTGGCCAAAAAATCAAAACTGCAAAAAACGTGTCTTGAATCATTACCAACTCCATGGGAGCAGTAATCACAGCAGGGCTGGCAATGACCAGATTTCCTTTGTCTTCTCTCCTTTTGACTCCCCACTGTTTGGAGAGAGTGGGGTGTATGGCCCTGCTCTACCATTATTTGGTAACCTCAGGCAAGTCACTTAGAAACTCTGGCTGCATTGTTAAGATCTGTCCTCAGATGACAAGTGAGAAATGGACCAATAGGGCTGGTGAGATGGCTCAGTGGTCTAAAGCACCTACTTAGAACAAGCTTAGCAAAGCACAGGGACCGCAGTTCAATCCCCCAGCACCACATGCCAGCCAGCCCCGCCCCCAGGTGGGCTGAGCTGGCCACACACATACACACACATAAATAAATAAAAATAAAAAAAATAAAAAAAGAAATGGACCAATAGGAACCATACATATATAAAGGTCTCACACTGCTCATAAATCTCATTCCTTCCATTTCCCCAACTGGTAAGGCTGTTGTACTTAATGGCAAATGGAATTGTAACAATTGTTCACATTCTTCTTGAAGGAATACGGAATAGAATTTTCAAACATCAAGGCCAGCCTGAACTGCATAGTGAGACCCTGTCTCAAAAAGACAAAATAAAACAAACAAAAAAAAGAATTCTCACCACCACTCAAGGTGATCTTTGCACTGTTCTCTACCCACTTCCACTGCTCTCCACTCCTTTTCTTCTTGTAAGAAAAACCCAGACATTGCAACTAAACCTCAATTCAGACTGGATTAACATTTACTCTACACATTATGTATCAAGTATATTCAGTTTTTACTGAAATCTGGTGACACCCCCCCTGAAATAAGAATTGACAATGATGGCTTTCCAAATGGACAGACCAAATAGCACCAACAAATAAAGAATACAGAAAAGATGACAAATGTTTTCTGGGGAGAAAAACACACACACATCACAACTGGCTCTTGTATAAAGTATGTTGTAGGACAGGACTTATTATCCTATATTGGTTTCATATTATTTCTATTTTGTCTAACATCAGGGAACCCTTACCTTCTTAGTGCTTACAGGTCTTCTTCATCTGGCCTGGGTGTTGCTTTCCACCTCCCACAGATGTAGTGAGTGAGGCCCTGGGAAAGGCCAAATGACTTGTCACCAGCTTCATAGTCAAAAGGAGAGGCCGCCAATGTAGTCTGTTGATTCAAAGTCTAGGCAGTACTCGTCCCAGGACCCCATCATTATCATTAGAGCACTGATGATGACTCAGAGGAGGAAAGGTGGTGGGCAGATTCAGTAGGCTCAGAGGCTCAGGAACTGGACAGACCAGTATCTCCTGAAGTGGATGGATGGCTCTCTAGGAGATATGTGATCAGTCCCTGGCCTAGCTCACTTTTTCCTCTCTCGCATTCTATTACAATACAGCCTCTACCACCTCCTAAAGAGATGATATTTGGGAGAATCCTGACAGGGTGCAGATGGAAACAGAAGCCTTTTGTAATGTCTAAAATTGGGCACATTTCCATTTTGTGGAGTCCAATTCCAAGTTCCCTTATGGAACAAGAAACCTTTCTTTCTTTCTTCCTTTTTTTTTTTTTATAGCTCCATAATCTCCTTGATCAGAACATTTGGGGCACAACTGAGTTACACGATGTTACAGTACAGGAAGAAACGTTCTTTCACTACTGCCAGTCTGGCTTTCATCCTCCTTCCCCCCAAAAGGGTCAAAGTCCTGCACAGAACTCCCACCTGCTACCTTCTCACCAGCACGTTCTTCACATACAGTTCACAGACATCAACATAAAGTGCCATGACTTAACCACCTTTCTTGAACTGTGTTCTCAATGAATAAAATATTTCCTTGCACTTTATTTTTTTTAATTTTATTTATTTGTGTGTGTGTGTGTGTGTGTGTGGCCAGCTCAGCCCACCTGGGGGCGGGGCTGGCTGGCATGTGGTGCTGGGGCATTGAACCGCGGTCCCTGTGCTTTGCTAAGCTTGTTCTAAGTAGGTGCTTTAGACCACTGAGCCATCTCACCAGCCCCCTCCTTGCACTTTAAACAGTGTTTCTGAAAGTAGGAATTTTCAAGGGGTGTCTCTTCTTCTTTACCAAACCAGGTGAGGGAATGGTATTTGTATCTGTGGAATTAAGTACCACAACTTAAAAGGGACTCAAGCTATGACTTCTAATTCATCAGCACTGTTAGCTTGCCAAATGTGCTCTTTGATACTGTTCTCCTAGAGATCAGAAAACATACTAGCCAGGCGTGGTGATGCATACCCATAACCCAAGCACTTGGGAGGCTGAGGCAGGAGACTGCCACAACCCGAACTACATGCAGACCCTGTCTCAAACAAAGAAAACACACACCAAAAATACCAATAGGTACAAACTGGCAACCTTACAGTGTACAAAGAACCAAGAGTGCATGCAAGTAGATCAGTCTAGATTATTGCCAACACAATCTGCTGGAACAAACAGCCTCTGGGACAGATTCCATTCTCTCCTTCAAAACAATTTTGTTTCCAGAAGTATTCTTCACATTCTATGTCTCTGCTTTTAGAGTGATTCTAGAATCATGACCAGCTTTTTTTCTTTTCCCGGTACCGGGGATTGAACTCAGGACCTTGCGCTTGCCAGGCAAGTGCTTATTCTACTGAGCTATCCCCCTAGCCCTCGACCAGCTGTTTTTAAGTCATTGTAAGAGGAGATGTGAAGGTCTTTCCTGCTTCGATACACTCATCCAATAGAAAACCTCCAAACTCCTTCAGCTTTTTAAGGCTGAGGGGAGAAAAACTTTCAAACTTTCTGAGTTGGTTAAAAATCAGAATTCTAGGGCTGGTGAGATAGATCAGTAGATAAGGTGCCTGCTTAGGCAAGTGTAGGGACCTGGGTTCGATCTCCCGCACCACTTGCTGTGCGGGTCCTGCCCCCGGGGCCAGCCACCAAGACCAGGCATGGTAGCTCACGCCTGTAATCCCAGAGCTGGGGAGGCTGAAAACTGGAGGATCACTGTGAGTCCAAGCTGTGTAGTGTGACCCTGTACCAAATACATTTTAAAAAAAATCATAATTCTAAGACTCTAGTTAATGATATACATGCTACAATAATAGGTTAACTACGCATTCTAGGTGATGGTTTGTGGGAATAGTTTGTAAAATTTCTTCAATTCTTTTGTACACTTAAAATCTTTCTTAGTTAAGTATGGTGGTGGGAGGGTCTTATGAAATGGTACATGACTGAAAATTACCTTTCCCATTAAGAACCGAGGGCAAGCAGACAGCTGACACACCTCTCCTCACCCAACTCTGGTCAGCTCCAATGAAAGAACCAAAGTACCAAGGAGAATGTGCAGTCCTTACTTATCTAGGCATGGCCCTGCTCACAGCAGATCCCTGAATACATATAAAACTGATAGAAATGCTACCGAATGCCCCCTCTCCAGGGCACTGGATCCTCACTTTGAGAAAGAGGTTCTTAGCCCCAAGTGTATCTGAGGATTATCTAGGGAGCTTATTAAATACAGATTCCTGAGCACTCTGTAACTACCGAATCAGAGCCTGATGGGTGGAGGGGTACCCTAGAAGCTTTTTTTTTTTTTTTTTTTAAACAAGGACTCCAGGTCGTTCTGACACTGAGGATTCTCGACCACTCACTCCAGCTTCCCTGACACCTGTTGATGGGACCCGGGGAACCCACCCTCCCTGACGTCCTGCATGGCGTAAGACCTGGTCAGTCTGCCGCGTCTCCAACCTGCCTGCGGGAGCGCGGCGCAGAGCCACGTCCCTATCTGCACGAGACCAAGAACCTGGCGGGGGAGGGATAGTGTGACGGGCTCCTTCGGGACCGCCAAGGTCACCCGCAGGGCCACTTTACCAGGCGACCTCCCCCCCCCCACAACCCCCATTCTTTGAGCAAACAAGCCGTCTGCCCTTGCGCTTCCTTCTCATTTCCTGCGGAAAAAGGACACAACCTTCCTATACATAAAACTTGGAAAGACACAGAAGGCACCAAACTCGAGGCCGGGCCCGCGCGACAATAACCCTCTGACTCAAGACCCAAGCCTCGGAATCTGTGGCCACAGCCCCGCAGCCGCAACTACACTAAACCCCCCGGGGCCCAGCAGCATCTTGGTGGAAGACGGGACCGCCTCGCCGCCCCAGCCCTCTTTACCTCCGAAGCTGGGCACTCCAGGCCGGCCCTCAGGACGCAGAGAGGGGCCAGGGTCCTGCCCAGAGCTCCGAGGAGACCCCTCAACCCGGGGTTTCTGCGCGCACACCGCCCCCGCGCGCCCAAAGGCACTGGGACTTGTAGTCCGCTCGCGCGCCTGAAGGCCCTAGAATTTGTAGTCAGCCAGTTCGCCTTCGGCGAGCCCGGCGGCAACGGGCCTACAAGAACCGGCGTGCACCGCGCGGCGCCGCGGGCGGGGGCGGGGCCCCGCGGCCGAGGTCATTGCCCTCCCGAGGGGCGCGAGGCCCAGCCCCCTTGATGGGGGTGTAGGTGGGAGTTCTCTCGAAAGCCATCCCAGAGTGCGCCGAGGCGACTCACCGTCCCCGCAACCCGTCAGTGGCGACAAGCGCAGCAGCAGGAGGGCTACCTCGGCAGCTGGCCGTCTGGCCCCGTCAGAGGCGGGTAAGCTTTGGAGAAAGGCCCAGGACCCCGGCGTCGCGGGGAGGAGGCGTGGCTTCGTGTGACACGTGACAGGTCTGGGTTACGTAGCTGGAGCTGATTCTCCTGGCAGGCTGAGCACATGGGGGGACTCTGGCGGTGTTTGCGAAGGAGCAGAAAGCTAGGGCACAGGGAAAGGTACTGTGAGGGCCCTCTTCTTCTGCCCTTAAGGCAGCTAGGCAGGGGCCCGAAGAACGCGCGCCTTCTGACTCCTGGGTCGGCTTTTTTGCCTTTGTTCTGCAAATATTTGTCGAGTTTGGAAGCCTACCATAAAGTCCTGAAGTACCCACGGAGCGTGGTGGCGCAAGCGTGCAGTTCCAACACTTGCGGAGGCCGAGGCCAGAGGCAGGAGGATTGTAGCCGAGTTCAAGGGCAGCCTTGAGCTACATAGTGAGACCCTGCCTAAAATAAATAAATAAATAACTATCGCTATTCCTTCGCTCAGTTTCCTCTCTAACAGTATAAGTACATCACAAAACACACGGGTACAAAACACCTAGGGCCACAAAAAAAAGTAAAAAGATGTTCCACCAGGGAGTTAAGGGGTGATGCCTCTGTTAGAGGAAACTGAGGTACGACTAGGGACCCCCAAGTCGGGGAAGTTGAAGCAGTAAGCGAAGTTCATTCCAACTTGAGTACAGGTTGTCAAGGAAGATAAAACCACTGACCCAGTGGTGGGTATCAGGGTTCTAGGGGTGTTTGGATAGGGAAGAGGTATGGCAGGGAGGAGTGGGAAACTTTTGGTTTAGGTCTGGAGGAGTAGGGAGACTTGGTGAGGTCCATATCTTGCAGGGGTGGCTGTGTAGAGTGGTTTACAAGCTGTGGGTCCCAGTTATAGCTGTGTCTCTACCGCCGCGGTCAACGGCTCTGCTTGGGGGAATTTTTTCTTCTCTGCCCAGTTGGAGGGATCTGACATTCCTGCCCTTTTATTATAAGAACAAAAAGGAGGGAGGACAGATGAACTTTCTCATAGCAATTTCCGGTGTGCCAGGGGCCAGAGTTTAGAGGAACTTCAAAAGAGAAAAAAAAGGTTTATGGTGTACTCTTACAGGAGTGCCATATATTGGGAGGTTATTAAAAATTGTCTTGGGGCCGGCCAGATAGCGCAGTGGACTAAAGTACCTGCTTAGGCAGATTACTACGAGTCTGATTTTTTTGTGAGCCTACATACCATCCTGTACATTCTCACTGGGGTCCAGTAAGGGCACTTTTTGTCTACAAGGGGTATATTTTGTGCCATGTTTTCTCATTGTTGGTGGTGATTTTGCTATTTAAAATAGCTCCAAATGTAGGGGCCAGGGAGATGGCTCAGTGGAATAAGAGCTTCCCTGGCAAGCACAAAGGTCTGAGCTCAATCACTGGTTCTGGAAAAAAAAAAAAAAAAGAATTACATGGTGTGTTCAAAATAGCTCCAAATGTAAGGCTGAAGTTTTCTATCTAGGATCCCTAAGTGCAAGAAGGTTATAACAGGACCAAAGAGATAGCTCAGTGACATGAGTGCCTGCCTGACAAAGCGTAAGGTCCTAAATTTGATCCCTGGTACAAAAATAAAAAAGGTTATAACATACCTTAATGAGAAAATGTATTTAGATAAGCTTTGTTGAAGCTTGTCATTGAGTCAACTGCACTAAATCACCAACATATATATATAAACACAAATAATCAAAAACAAGGTTATGTATTCAGTAGTTGGCAAAAATATTGTGATTGGAGGTTTATAAGAACTTAACGTAATACATCCCCTAGAAGCAGGAATTCGATATTCACTAGTTCAGTGTTTGTGGAAGCTTTATAGAATACAAGTACCTCAAATAATAGGACTATTTATATAAGGTGTGATAAAAAACTACAATGGTTGTTTAAATTTTTTAAAAAATTTGTCATTAGGGGCTGGGGAGATGGCTCAGTAGAATAAGCGCTTCCCTGGCAAGCGCAAGGGCCTAAGTTCAATCCCCGGTTCCCCCGCCCCCCCAAAAAAAATTGTCATATAGTCCCCTTAAAATATTGCCCTTTGCATTGAACACTCTTATCCCATCATTCCTGCAATTTTCTCAAGTATTTCTGGAAGTCTTCCTTTATGGATAGTATCTTTAGTTACACTGCTGTGGCTGCCTAAGTGTCCTGAATTGATTGAAAATGTTTACCTTTCATGCTTATTTTACATTTGGAGGAGAGCCAGAAGTTGTGTGGTGTCAGATGCAATGAATGAGGTAGATGAAATATGCCGTAATGTTTTCGGAAGCTTCTGGAAGCAATATTCACTATATTTTCTATCATGCTTGGCAAAGACATGAAAGAAGATTTCCAGAACTACTTCAGACAGTGGCAAGAATGATAGGTTAGGAGCTGAGAGTAGAGCCCAGTGGTAGAGCACTTGGCTAGTGTGTGTGAGGCCCACACAATCCCCAGCACCACAAAAAAGGAGAAGGAGAAGAAAAAATAAAGAATGATAGGATAAAGGAGTCTGGGAGATAGCTCAGTTTCAGGGCCTGTCTGGCAAGCATGAGGTTCCGAATTCTATCTCCGATACCAAAAAATAAAAGAATGATAGGATGAGTGTGTTGGAAGTAGGGAAATATTTTGAGAGGATTAATGGCAATGTCTCTTTTACTGCCATAATTTTTTTTTTTTTTTCTTAAACACATACCTTAGCTGAGTGTGGTGTTTCATGCTTATAATCCCAAGACTCTGGAGCCTGAGGCAGGAGGATCTCTGCAAGTTCAAGGCCACCCTGGTCTACAAAGTGAGTTATTATCAGCCTGAACAGCATCTCAAAACCCTGTCTCAAATAAATAAATAAAGCACACTTTTCCAGGTATGGCTGCACACACCTATAATCCCAGCACCCAGGAGCCTGGGACAGGATGATCTCTGCAAATTTGAGGCCAGCCTGGGCTACATAGTGAGTTCAAGGCCAACCTGAACTACATGGCAAAACTACCTCAAAACAAAAATGCTTTATTTTTTAATCAGACCTTAAATGATTTAATTGATATTTTGAAGGATCATTCCTTAATTTTTTAATCTTTAATTAATTAATTTGATATAGGGTCTCACTGTGCTCAGACTTGTAGTGATTTTCCTATCTCAGCCTCCCCGGCACTGGGATTGCAGGGGTGCGCCACCATGTCAGGTTTTGCGCTGGTATGGCATGTAGTAACAGGATTTGAACCCAGGTCCTTGCACTTACCAGGCAGGTGCTTAGACTGCTGAGCTAGCTCCCTGGCCCCTGAAGGATTACCCTGACTACTCTGACTAAGAGAAGCAATAAAAAGCTAGAGAAAGCTGGGCATGGTGGCCCATGCCTGTAACCCCAACATTCAGGAGGCTGTGGCAGCAGGATTGCCTTAAGACTAGCCTGAACTATAAAGTGAGACCCTGTCTCAAAAAAAAAAAAAAAAAAAAAAGGAAAAAAATAAAAAAAAAAAGATATTATACCCTGAAATCCATTATGTGTCTTACAACAAATCCTAATTTAGAACATTCACATTTCAAGACCTCGATAGGCATATGTGATTTGTGGCTACTGTGTTGGACAGCACAGATCTAGAACATTTGTTCATTTACTCATTTTACCAGACAATGTCTTGTTCTAGGCCTGGAAATGTATGTAATGGAATGAAGCCCAATCTCTGTTCTCAGAGTACACAGTCCAGCTAGGGAGACTAATATAGTAGTTAATATTGAAGACATCAGTGTGCTTTGAGAGTTCAGGGGAGGAGTACCTAGACAAGGCTTCAGAGAGAAGATAGACATGTAAGTGGGGACTTTGTTTATAGTCACCCCAGATGAAAGAAGTGGCAAAAGCACTCCAAGCGTGAGAGCTACTTATGCCCAGTCATACAGAAATGAAATAAGAGTATCTTTGGAGAGATGCAAGCAGTTCTGTACAGCTGGATTTCAGGGTGTGAAAGTGTAACAGACTTCTTTTTTTTTTTTTTTTTTTTTTTTTTTTTTTTTCTCCGAATGCCTTCAAGGCATGACTGGCTGGCTTGTGTTGTGGGGATAGAACCACAGCAACCTGAGCCTGACTGCTTTGTTGAAGCAGCCACTTAAAGAACTGAGCTAAGGGGCAGGCCCCCCAGACTTCTTATAGAACTTAGAATTTATCCTACATGTTATGTACTGTAACGAGGTAAAGTGATATGACTAAAATTGTGTTTTTGATGACTTGTTACGGTGATTTGGAGTGGGTAGAATTTGAGGTTGAAAGACTCCTTGGGAAGAGAAAGGGGTTAGAGTGGATTTAGAAGAAATACCCATGGAAATTAAGAAGGGGGTCAGAGGAAAGAGGGCAGAGTATGGACTAAAATGTGGCAAGAAGGGCCAGCGGTATAGCTCAGCAGACTGCTTGCTTACGTAAGCGCAGGGGCCAGGGTTCAATCCCTGGCACCGCATGCCATGCCAGCCCCAACCCCAGGCACACTGAGCCAGCAATGGAGTCTGGGCATGGTGGTACATGCCTGTAATCCCAGCACTAGGGAGGCAGAAATCAGGATCACTACAAGTCTGAGCTGCATAGTGAGACCCTGCACACACACACAAAAAAAAAGGTGGCAAGAATGTCCCACACACCAGAGGGAGTAAAACACGTGTAAAACTTAACATGCCAAATGCCATGTCAAAATTTGTTTACCCAGTGTAACATACT